GGCCATCGCTTTTGGGTAGGAGGCCATCGCTTTTGGGTAGGAGGCCATCGCTTTTGGGTTGGAGGCCATCGCAATCGCTTTTGGGTTGGAGGCCATCGCTCTTAGGTAGGAGGCCATCGCTTTTGGGTAGGAGGCCATCGCTTTTAGGTTGGAGGCCATCGCTATTTGGTTCCTTAAAGTGTTTTTTCTTAAGGTGGAGAAACACTTGTTCCGAGTCTTCTTGTCCGGAAGGTTTCTGGCACCGCTGTGGCCAACTCTGTCGCCTGCTACCTCATCCAGGACTGAAGATCTATTGCGGACCACAAAAGAAAAGGACGTGTGAATTCGATGAACAAATGCGAGCAAGCCCTCAGAAAGGGCATTTGTCATGAATCTGACCCGCATTGTCAGGACCGGATATTCATGATGCATTGATTCGTAGTTCAATCCTGAGTTTCTTCAGCAAATGTCACCTCCAAACTGGCGCTGCCAGAGAAAAGGGAGTCTTGCAATATGGCGCTGCCGTTCAGGCTTGTGTTGCTTGTGTCAAGGTGCTTCTAATCACTTTCTCTATCCACAATTTCATTCTTCAAATTTTGGATGTGTTCCTCTATGTTGGAGGCCATCGCTAGTAGGTTGGAGGCCATCGCTTTTGGATGTGTTGAAGAATCAGCAAGTGAGCCACGGCCATTGAAGATCAGTGAGGTGAGGGAACGCGGAAGCGGGCTCTCAGGGACCCCAGCAGGTCTTTCTTAACGTGAAATAAGCCAGTCATCAGTCATCCTTTGAATCACACATAGAAAAAAAAACACTTTAAGGAACCTAATAGCAATGGCCTAGAAGCGATAGCCAGTCATCTTTCTATGTTTACACAGCCTCGTTGTTGATTCTCAGCTGTTCTAGGGTCAGACCTAAGATGTGAAGCCATGTGGCTACAGCCACTGCGCACACTCCGCCGAAAATGCGTTTCTTTGCAGGTTCGGCAATTTGCAAGACGCCGAAAACGCCTGGATGAATACGAGCATTACGAAAGGCCTCTTAGTGCCAAGTCTTGGAAGCGACTTCGTTTCGAAGGAAACTTCTTAGAGCATCGCTTTGAAGATATGACACCTGGAGAAGTCTCACAAACGGTTTTCATCGCGTCCAAAATGGATGTGGAGAACGAAGACTTCTGGAAACGTGCTTCTTTGGCCATGGGGGATGTGGCCGGGGCCATGACGGCTCGGCAGTTGACAGCAGCATGTTGGGCCTTCGGGGCCTTCAACTGGCATGATGAAGCCTTGGGAAAAGCTCTGAGCAATCCGGTGGTGAAGATTGCACCTCGCATGAAGGCCTCCCATGTTGCTACAGCTGCTCAAGCCTTTGCACGGATGAAGCTTCGCAACGTGCCCGTTTTGCAAGCGTTGTCCGTGTCAGCGCAAGAAGCTTTGGGCTCGGGCCGTTTGAATGGCAAGGGCCTCGCAATGGTTGTCAAAGCATTTGCAGACTTGGAATTTTACTGCCCAAACTTGCTCCTGTCGGTCGAAACGTGGGCATCTCAAGGCATTTCCAGCAACCGACTGGACATTTGTTTGGACCTATTTCATAGTCTTTCGCTTCTGGGTGAGAACACTCCATCTCCCTGGCCAAGTCCTGCAAAGTGCGCAATGAAACATCCAGTGGCTGTGAAAGCCTTGAGTGAAACGTTGGCCTTTAGAGTCAAGGAATTGGAAGCTCCGCAACTCCACACTGTGGTCTTGGCGATGGGAAAGCTGCGCCTCGATGATTTTAATGTCATTCGAGCATTTCAAAACGAAGTTTTGGCCGACTTGAGTGCTTTGCAGACGACTTCCTTGCCTCCTGTCTTAGAGTCATTTGCACTTTGCTTCCAGACTTTGAATGCCAATGGCACGGACACCACAGAGCAAGAGATCTTGGAAGAGCGTGAACACTTTCTGATACAAATCACAAATCGTTTAGCTCGTGAGTTAAGACTCTTAAGACCTCAAGAGGCAAGTCGTTTGCTACAAGCCATCGACCACTTAGGCCTTGTAGATCCTAGATTGCTGGCAGCTGCTGCTGAGATTGTGCCTGAGCGCTTATCCAGATGGAGAGCGGAAGAGCTGATCTCTTTGATTGAAGCATATGCTGCAGCTGAGAATTTCGATGCTTTCATGGTGCCCTTCCTTCGACAAGCATTGATCCCTCTTCCGCAAGCAATGAGTGCAATGACAGAACCGCATCAAAAACTGGAGCGAGATTTTCCGGATGGACTTCAATTGCTGCGGGCAGCTCAAGCATTCTCGTCCTTAGGACACACTGCTGGCCTTGTGGCTTTGATGTCACTGTGGAACCTATGGACCGAGGGCGTGCATTGTATAACGCCGAGCTGCCAGTTGGCTTTAGCGTCCTTGGCTAGAACGCACTTTGAGCACGTGCAGCATGACGCGTGGGATGAGGCTAAAAGAAAGTTGCTGGACAGAGCCGCTAAGGAGGCAAAGAAGCTTCCTGATGGTACTGGTTTGATGATGGTCCTGGAAGAAGCTGTTGCCGTGCATGAGATTTGGTTTGCAGCATCTAATGCAGATTCATACCACGCAGATGACATCTTGTTGGCGATTCTTGGCTTTCCACATCTCAGCAAATCTTGGTGTGAATCTCTGAGCACGAAGATCTCGGAAGCTAGCTTCTCTCTTTTGCCTGGCTTGCTTCTGCACCTGGACGCCGCGGACGCGCCCGACGCCGTGCGAAGCCAAGCCGAAGCGGAACTCCTGCGGCGGCTCGGAACAACCGGTCGCAGCGGTCCGCTGCAAAGGATGCCGGCCATGACGGTGGTGGCGATGTTCAAAGCCTTGGCAAAGATCCATGGTAGGCGCCTTCAAAGCCCCAACTTGGCCCAGGAGAGGAAGAGACACGGTTAGGAAGAGAGAGAGAGAGAGAGGGGAGAGATTTCTGTGTGAGACAAGTAAGATTTGACTTCAGGATAATTTCTTGGGCAGTCCATCCGGGAGACACCTTTTGAAGGGACGCAGGATCTTTGGTACAATGAAAGCACAGCAGTAAAGCTTACGAAAGAGGGAATGCTGCACTATTGCAATGAATTGATGTACTATGGGAAGTTGCCTTGATCAAAGTCTGCGATGCTTTGAGTTTTTCTACTCATTCTGGCCAGAAACAAGACACTCTGACCTGACCTTGAGTTTGGAGTGCTCTGTGTCAACTAGAATCCTTTGTGGAAATAAAGGTGGAATCCGGCATTCCCGTTCAAATAAGCTGCTGTGCTGACGGAATGGTATGAAGTTGGGAAAAGCACCATTGTTCCCGGTGCCAAGGCCTTCGAATGAGAAGTAGCAGAATGAAACAATACTGCACCAGCGAACAATTATTCGGGTACACGTGGGTGCACTCCATTGAAGGAGGGCTAGGCTTAATGTGCAGCAATAAAGATTGCTACCTACTCCTTTGAAGAAGGAAGAGAAGATACCTGGAAACACATAGAAACAAGGTTTTCAAGGTTCAAAGAAGAGAAAGGGGATATAAAGCATTCTAGTTTGCCAAGAACTGTATAACAAGAAGCTACTAGGGGCTCCTGGCATCGCTACTAGGAGCAAGGACGCTACTAGGGGCTCCTGGCCGTACTACTAGGAGCAAGGACGCTACTAGGTACTCCAAGGCCTTAAACTCAATCAACGAAGAAGAGCAGCGCTGATGTTACTGCTCAGGAGCCCGAAGGAGAAGTGCTCTCCGAAGTGCGCCTGGGGGTTCACCTGGGCCGTGCGACAAGAACCCCTTGAAGCATTCATCACCTAATAGCGGAACCTAATAGCGGCCTCCAACCTACTAGCCTTCTTGCTCCGTTCGTAGCGATGCCAGGAGCCCCGAACGTAGCGTCCGATCGCTCCTAGTAGTAAGGCCAGGAGCCCTAGTAGCTTCTTGTTCCTAATACAATGGCCTCCAACCTAATGGTGATGGCCTCCAACCTAATAGCCCCTTGAAGCATTGAAACCAAAGTCCAGATTCAATTCATGGAATGCCTGTGTGCCCCCGCATCTTTGGCAGTTCTAGAATCGGTTTGAGTGACTGACATGACATACCTGAAACTCTGTAGCCGATTGCAGGTCATCTTCCAATCAACTGGCCCACTGCTGCGGCGACTTTCAGAACTGGCTGAGAAGGGTGAGCTAACAGCAAAGGCCACTTGGCAAAAGTTGACTGCTTGTCATGCGCCTTCATGGTGCTTGCGGTGCCATTCTTGCAGGCAATGAATTGGGATATTCCGTCCCGGTCATGCCTTCATGGTGTAGGTTGGAGGCCATCGCTATTAGGTGATGCATCCTTCAAGGGGTTCTTGTCGCACAGCCATGCTTTCATGGTGTCTGGGTCAGTGCATGTGATGGTCAGTGATCCGGTTAGGTTCGTGGCAACCAAAGAAAAAATCCAAGAAGCGGAGAGTCTGTATTGTGTTTTGTTTTTTCCAAAAATGGCAAATGGCCAACCTAAACAAGCCCTAAACAAGCCCTAACAGAAGCTGGGATGAAGCTGAAAAATTGATCGCTGGAGTCAGTTCGACCGTTCTTTGAGGCCTCAGTTCGAGTTCTCCAAAGTGTTCAAGCGCCGACCTCGAAGTGAACTCCTCGAAGTGTTCGATGAGCGAACGGAACCTTGTGTGTTCCAAACGGTCTGGCAGTGATCCCTCAGACCAAGTATTCCTTGGAAGAACCTCAGTCCAGGTCTTGGGGCCAAACATGTGTTCTTTCCCATCCGTTGCCATTCCCTTTGCTATTGACATTGAGTATGGTAAAAGCCTCAGGTTTGGGATGTCTTAATGTCTGTACTTCCATTCGCCTATCGTTCTCATTGTTCCGTTCTTCTGACATGCTAAGACTGCAGTGAATCAGTGGCTCAAGCCATGCCGGTTGGGGAAGGGTTAGGAGTTCATGGCGGGAAATGGGGCTCTGCACCATACTTGAAGCATCCACTGCTTCCTTTAGCGCAGGTTCGAAGCCTTCACAAACTGTTCATTTTGACGTTTTGGTGTATAATGGACGTCCCTGAGCAGTTGAACCTTGGTTTCATTTCTAACCATGTTGGCATCTTTTCCGCTTCGCATTTCTCCAGAGGTGGTTGCCGGGCTCCTGATGTTCGCACCATTGCTTACGGCCTTTTGGACACCTTGGAACCACAACTGCTGGGGCGTTTGTACTAGCTACGTGCAACTCAGCATTGGAGGAGCCTTGGAGATGGAATTCACCCGAATGTTTTGACCCAAAGTTCACCAATGCTGGAGGTCATTACTAATTCTCCTTGAGAATCAAGGAGAAGAGGCCCCATTTACACAGTCGAGTTCACATAACCATGCACGGATTATGCACTGACTGTGTACATTGAAGCTTGAAGCATGGTTGGGTTGCATTTATTAGTGGCCATGTTTAGTTTCTCTTGAACACCACCACCCAAACAATATAGACCTAGTGGAAGCAAGGCATCAAACAATGTACAGATATGTAAAGCATGATGGACCGAGCATGTTGCTGAAACAGTAGCAAGAAGGCTGCTAGCTGGAGGCCATCGCTATTAGGTTGGAGGCCATTACTAAAAGTAACTAAGAAGCACTACTAGTAATAGAAGAAGCATACAAATCGTAGACGTCAGGAACTGTGCCTTTCAGCATCCTGAACCACTTCGGCCATGCTGCAGCTGGACGATGGGTGCCGGTTTTGCAAAAGCTTGACAGGACTGGTCTCAACTTGACCGAGGTTTCAAATGCCTTACCCCTTGCTACTATGGAGCAACACTGTGATTGAGATGCCTGGACAAAACAGATACAGGGACCAAGGAAAACTTTAACACATTTTGCCAGGCTTGCCTTCACCGCTTTATTTTGAACACTCCCTGTACTTTGGAACAAGAGCGCGGAGCATTTTTGCGAGTGCTTTGCTAGAGAATTGGACTCTTGATGTACAAGAACGCTATAATGCAACAGTGCAAGGTCTGAGTATTTGATGGCCCAAATCGGATGGAATGCCAAACACACCGTGCCTTACTAGCAAACACTTGTGAAGAGCTTGCTTCACTGATTGAGATCCATTCAGGCCGACCGGTGCTGCAGTTCTCATAGTATTCTCAAAGTCATAGGAGCTTTATTGCATTGTCAAGCATTGCGGGGAGCTATGCACTGTCGCAAGATGTGGCCTTTACTATGGGCTCAGTTGCTTTGGAACGCCAGGTTCAGCAAGCTTGGCGGGGCTTATGTTTTTGAACCAACTTCAGGCCCTTAATTGTGATTAGGAAACCGTTTGTTGTACTTTACCTTCTCCGACATTTTTCTAGTTAGTCATGGTCCGTCAGAGCATTTTGTTGCTTTCGGTAGACTTTTTGGAAGTTATCAACCGAGGTTCTTTTGGCAGCTACAGCGATTTGGATGATGTGGTTTGCCAGTCCGAAATATCGCGACAGCGAAAGCCTGGGCACTGGCTTAGTGGTCGTTAGCACCGTGGCACTGGCTTATTGGTTTAGGGGATTTAACTATGGAAGCTTGTTACTGTGGCCATTACCCGTAACATTCGTCCCATGAGCATATATTCCGACTGCATAAAGATACTGGTCCCAGAGGTTCTTCTTTGTGTTCCTATGAAAAGTGCATTCGGTCGCTTTCCCAATAGGGTCAAGCTAGACGTCAGTCTAGACAGTGCTTGCATGGGCCACCGGCCACCAGTGGGCGCTCTGGTGCTGGTCGTGAATTCGGTTGTGGTGGCGACCAAGTCCGAGCTGAAAACTGGCGGAACATCATTAGTGCGCTTGAAGCGTGAGCTATCCTGCGTCCACAATAGCTTATTCCTTGATTAAGTAGGCATAAGTAGGCGGCTACTCAATTAAGTAGGGGGGCAGAGCGGGCTTTAAAAGAACACGTGAGCAACCACTTTGCTATTGGGGTCGATCGCTGGGTTCTTCGGCAGCAGCGTAGGTTTATGTATACCTTCCGGTTATCATCAAACTAAAGTCCCGCTGGTGGTGTATTCATTTTCAGCAGTTGTTAGATTCGACACGCCTTCGATCCTAGGTATTTGCTATGGTTTGCTGCCTATGATTCTGCACCGGGCTACTCTGGATCCAAATCTGCTGCCAGCTGCTGGCTCTATCCTCGCCGGCTTTACCCTCTTCCAGCTGGATCCATTAGGCTGCAAAAGCAACATGCAACATGTGGGATCGGTCCCTTTCGTTTGACGCGACCCAATCTTTGTAGTAGTGTAGTGACAAGCGTCACGTGTTGGTGGCGTCATTTGTTTAAAGGCGACTTGAAGACGGATCGTTCGTACGAGTGTTGTTCATATTCTGACATTGAATCGGCGCACACACACGTGAAGCTGCATGAAACAACTTGAGCTTTTTCTGACCTCCCAACAAAAAAGGCTGCCCCCCTTCTTAGGGATGCAAGCATTCTTCTGAATTATTTGTGGTGTTTGCTTCAATGTAAAGAATATAGTCTTCAAAGATGTACACAGAAGCTGCCGGTCAAGGTCTGAGAGTGCCCATCCGTGAAGAGATCTCCCATGTGGGATGGACACAGTGAAGATTAATCAAGTCTTTCTAACCAGAATGTTTGTTATGTTTGATCTGGTTCGCTTGACACTGGAAGCTGGCTGAAACGGTGAGTAAAGAGCTGTCGGCACCGAACGAGTCGCTTGCCGCGCACCGCAGGAGTATGGACGGATTCTGCATGGCACTTGCTTTTGGCGCCATATATTCACTATTGTGCACTCTCTGCAATATCACTGGACCAAAGACTGTACGGATATTGTTTGAGCTCTGGGCAAATATCTTGAGAACCGAGCACCATCAGATTTGGACAGGTGCTGGCCAAGCTCGCAAAAGACTAAAGACATGACATGAATAGATCATTTGTTGTTTCACCTCGCAGAATACCAAAGATGGTGTTTTGCAAAAAGTTTTGCTGTCCTAGAAAAACGGCATGCAGTCCGGATGAGCAGCCGTTTCGATTCCGAGCAGAACTTCTCAAAAATTGAAGCTTTTGAAGCGAACCTTCAACACAGAGGCGATGGGACTTGAACCCCCTGCTCTAGTGGTGGCAAGCTCGATCCTGAGATTCGCCAGGACGCACCAGGAAGGCTATTGATAGCGGCCAAACTCGACCACGACAGCTGTCCTAAATAGGAACTGTTTCGACCACCGCTTCGAAGGGTTCCTCAAGGAAACTTCCCATTCACACGCTTCGAGGTGTGCTTTCGATCGGTTGGATGCGCCAAACAAACATGTACCTCCTATACTACTAGCCTCTACAAGCTAGCTACGTGTCCTCCAGCCTCTTTACAGCTCCGGAAGGCGGCTGTTGACCTTCTCTAACTAGCGTTAATTAGGAGGCCAATAGGAGAAGAACACATCAGAATTCTTCCATATAGAAGGTAAAACACGTGTTTTCTTTATCATTTTTCTCTGGACGTTCACTGCAACATAGCTTGCTCAGATGACCATGATGACCCTTTTCTCCGAAACAAGGCCTGGCCAAGACGGCTGGAACCTTGACACCCGAGGAGTTCATTGCTGCACTGAGGCTTGGTGACATGGGATTTTGGTTGAAAGCCAGCACCTGTCAACATCACTCGCAACAAAGCTCCTCAGGGACCGAGTTTCACTACTCTGAGCAACTGCGTGCTTTACACTAGTAGTAACAAAGAAGCTACTAGTAACAGGTGCCACGCTAGTAGCAACAAAGAAGCTACTAGTAACAGGTGCCACGCTAGTAGTAACAGGTGCCTTACTAGTAGTAACTAAGAAGCTATTAGAAATTGATTCCACAAACAACCTGAGTTTTGCACCTATTGGCAGGCCTTTGACAGGGAAAAGCATCACAGCATCGGGAGGCCAATCTGAAGAGCTCGTAACATTAAAACCTTTGTGAAACATTTAGCTTGGCATGTGGTTCAAAGTTGTGAAACACAAGGCCAATTGGTCATATTGCCTTTGCTTGGCATGTGGCCTTGTGTCCAGTGTCTGTGCTATTTTTTGCGCTCGAGTTTCATGGCCATCCGCCCAAAGGAAGTGGACATATCTTTGGATAGAAGAGGATTATTTCTAATAGACATGAACAATTAAAGGTGTTCTTTATTCTGTATATAGAATCTAGTAGCTTCTTGCTCCTAGTAGCGATGCCCTTTATTCCTAGTAGCGTCCTTGCAAAACGAAGATCCACAGGCCGTGGCCTCCTCACAGCTGCAGCAACCAGAGCAATGGGACAGCTGAAAAGCTCTCGACAGGCGCAGCTTCATTCCGCATCGGCATTTTGGCACCTAGCTTGTAGAAACAAGTGCATCGCTTCTAGTAACAAGTGCCTTATTAGTAGTAACAAGAAGCTAGTAGAAGCTCATGTGTGTTTGAAGGAACCATGTCAAGGACATGATTTCTACTTGTATACTTGAGGCATTTTTCATCACGCTTGATTTACGGTCCTTGGCAGTCCTTGGTTCCTTCCTAGTGTTGGCCCTTTCATTTGCAACTTTTTGTTTCAACAACCCATATCATCATGTCCAGACATTGAAGTTTCACTTCAGTTTAAGCATTCTGTTTGGCGGAAGAACATGGCATCGGAGTGCCAGACATTCATGCCTCCAGGCTTGGCAGCTTGATGGCCTTTGTCCAGAACTCAACTTGACGAGCATTGTTTACTGACTACAACTTCATCATGGTCCATGTATTCGGTGAAGTTGTAGTCAGCTGCAGTTGCTGCACTTTGCTAGGCCATACATGTCTATGCCCTTTGGACCTATGTACTCTGGACCCTTTTGGGCTCGAATGTTAGTGAATGCATCGGCCTTTCCGATCGTCAGCACAAGACCAGATGGGGATAGAATTCCTTCAGTTAGCATGATGTGGCAGTGCTGTTGATAGGAGGAGGCTTTGCTGTGGCAGTACTTCCCACTTGTTTTCATCTCCGTTTTGGTTCGTCTGCCTGTGCTGAGTGCATGTTTGCACACACTCAAAGCTCTACTGGGCATATGATGTGCCTGGCATGCCACAGTGTTTGACCTCTCCGAAACCTAAGATGCAAAACATAAAAATACACAAACTCTTTAGTGTGTCCGTCATACTTCTCTTTTTTACTCTAGACGTTTTCTCTTTTTCTTTAGACCCTCTTCCTCTTTTCATTTAATTGCCATATCTTGAAACTATACTGGCACCACTGTAAATCAACAACGTTTTGCCTAAGAGATTCAGCGAGGTCCAACTTGGATTGTTCAACCTTGGCCTTTGTTGCCCCGGCTGTGCGAATGGAAGGGCAGACATTCTTATATAATGCTTTCGTTCTTGGAGGCCACGTTTGGTTTGGATGCTTTTAAGTCTTAGACCTTGCTGAACACATGCTAGAGTGCACACTCAGAATAGCGCAAGACTGCTTCAGGTGTAACTTTTTTAAAGCATGAACACACATGCGTCACAGAGGCGCTTAGGTTGGAGGCCATTGCAGGTAATAAGTAGGTTGGAAGCCATTACCATTAGAATCTAGTAGCTACTACTAGCTACTACTAGCTACTACTAGCTACTAGCTACCTCCATCTTCCTGGCGCAGCATCGCACTTTCTCTCCAGGCAAAGCTCTGAGGCTCGATGTGGGGGAGGCGCGAATCTCCGAGACAAGCGCTGGTCGTGACCGGTTTCGTGACCAAGATCCAAGACCTTGTGGAGTTTTGTACAGGTAAAGACCAAGTTACTAAGAGCAAATGACACCCTAAATGAATACGATTTGTGTTTGCCACACCAGGGCACTGCTGTAAGTAAGGCAAGGTGGCAAGGCAGCAAGGGGTGGGCCATTTCAGTTTGAAAGTTTGTTCTCGGTCTTTGAGACTAAGTGGAACTTCTTCTTTATTCGAGAAACTGACAGTGAGAAGAAGAAATGAGAAGAAAGAAGAATAAGGAGAAGAAGAAAAAAATAAGAAGAAGGAATAATAACAATGATAATAAGACTCAGAAATAAGAAGAACATAGAGCACACAACGGAGCAACCCAGAAAAAGTATAGAAGAAGGAACAACCGAGGAACACATAGAGAAACAGTCTTTCAGTGCAAAGGCACCACCTTTTGGTTTGCAAGATCTTAGTTGTCTTAATTTGGGAACACAAAGAAGAGACAGGGAAAGAGGATAAGAACAACACACACACACACTGATTTCTCTATCTCTTCTCAATCATTTCTGTATTTCTTTGTGTTTCTCTGTCTCACTCTTTTTCTTTTCCTCCTTGCCTTTCTCCGTGCCTGTGCATGCTTCTGTGGACCAGACTTGTCCAACCTGTCTGCAGGTGATCCCCGATGATGAGATATTCGAAGAGGACAGCCGTGTCAGCTGTGTGAGTGACTGCCACGCAAACAAGAGAGATGTGTATGACGTGTTTCCCCGGGAATCGTTTCACCCGTAGCAACAAGAAGTTTTTAAGTATGTCTTTGAAGCTTCTTAGCAAAGCTTTCTAGTAACTAGATGTGCTTGCCTGAAAATTTGCGTCGTGCACCATCAATTTAGTCCCAGTGATGTGGCTGAGGACCTTTCTCAAGCACAAGCTGGATGAGCTCATGGACATGGACAGCATGCTTTTGATAAGTACACGTCCTATCGTCATACATCATTAGATACAAACACTTACATCTAATTTGGAGGCCATTGCAAGTAGGCCATTGCTATTAGGTTTGAGGCTATCGCAAGTAGGTTGGAGGCCATCGTTTTTCGTTTGGCATGAACTTCTTGTCTTGCTGCATGAAATCCACCAGGAGGAGCTTCACGACCGCGCTGAGTGAGCCTCAAAGCTTCATTGTTTGTTTTATCGTTTCACGACCGCAGAGGCGCAAGCGAAGGCGCTGAAGGCTTGTGAGACACAAACTGGCGTGCAACAGTTGCCAAGTTTCAGTTTGCTGCTTCAGCTCTTTCAACACTCTTATTACTTCCGTGGTCACCATGTTACAGCTCCGCACTTTATCGGCAGCCAGAGCCAGAACGGGAAAGCGCACATAATTGAAGAACCTGTTGCGATTCACACAAGATATCGCCGAACGACCGAGCTTCTCAAGCTCCAATAGTTACGGACTACATCTGTATTTCCCGAACTATTTGGGCCACATACCCGAAGGAATGTTGCCCGCTTTTCGAACCGGTAGAAACATCTCGGGTGTTTAGGCAAGGGGTGCAGCGAGTGCCTTCGCAAAAAGGAGCACGGCACTGAACGTGAAAGTATGGCCCCATACCTGGACACTGCACAGCTGCACTGCTGCCTGCTGCACTGATACTGCTACTGTTACCACTGCCTGCTGACCAAATCTAGCATCAATTTGCTATGCCCAACAATGTCGCCAGAGCTTCCCTGAATAGCAGTTAGAGAGCTTCTTTACTTCCCGTGTGCACTCTGGTCTTATGCGGCACCTGGGGGAAAGAGTCTAGGCTTAAATCCAGGTGGGGGACCGCAGCAACCTCAGCTTTGAACCGTTGATGCTCTTCAACGGCGGTTCCGGAACCGCCTTTGGACACTGAACGACAACAGTGACACCAAATTATCAACCACAACGACCACTCTCAGTGTCACTTGCGATTTGCATTGAACGACGGGTGCAGTCGTGAGACGAAGATGCCACTATATGCCACTTCTAGAGCTGGCTAAAGAGCCAAACTGGTTCAAAGGCCTTGCGATAGCCTCCAACCTTACTAATAGCAAAAGGAACCTAATATCCTACTCGCGATGGCCTCCAACCTAGAAGCGATGGCCTCCAACCTACTAATTCCCGCCAGAATGAATGTAGACAAATGTCCGGGTTCTGTTGTTCAATAGAACCTGCAAAAACGACTTTGACAACATGGAAGACGGATCAATAAACTATTTTACAGATATTCACAGTGTAAAAACTTGTAAATCTTCACATACACATGATCACATAATCATAGGCAAATTCCAGAAGAGGAGAAGCACGAAAGTAGTGATGAGTGAGATTCATACCACAGGACAGTGTGGTTATGGTCGCCGTTGTTTGTGTGACCAACAGCCAGAAGCAAGCGAAGCAAGTGCAACTGCAAGCGCAACTGCAATCGAGTGAAAGGTTGTCCCCCTGGGTTCGAGCAAAGGCGGTGACCATCTTTGACTAGACGAGCATTCAACAGAAAGGCCGCGACGCATCCTCCAACCAAACTGGCAAACCGAAGAGACTGGAAAAAAGCCTAGACGGCTTGACTGACAATAAGACGTTGCAGAAACTTTGCTTAGTTGTCGATTGAATTAGTGAATGAATGAATTGACCTGCAGTGCCTTCAAGTGACCTGAAGCCTTTGGAAAGTACTTGTAAATAGTATAAGTACGTGACTATGTACAGACTCCGGTCTGTCAATATAGTCAATTGATTCGTTGGTGACTGTTGGCTGGTTCGGGTCTACGATTTTGCAAATGCCCCTGGACTCCTTGTCATGTTTGCTGTTGGGCCAGAGCTGTTCTGACTGGTTGATTGGGCCACTCCCTTCGCTCCATCACTGTCCTGCTACCAGAGCTCATCTTCATACTTCCGTGCTTTTGGGTCTGTGCGCCATTCATGTGCAATCTCTCATTCGCCCTCAAAGCCACGGTGCCGATGTTTAACATGAGTCGTCGTTGGCTGTGCAACAGAACCGAAAGCATCCTCCCTTTTTCATTTTGAGAACCGTTGAGGTCACTAAGTATACCAAGCAGGAATATGATTCATGTTCTTTTTTCCCCGACATAGCATGACGGCAGATTGAGGCGTTGACATCCGCCGTCCTTACACAAAACGCTCAATCCTCAGCTGAAAGCCAGCTCCGCAACACCACCAAGACTTGTTAGCTTCACTCGAAGTCCACCAACTCAATGGAAGCTCAACACAAGGCCTTTTCCACAAGAGTTATGTAGATCAAGGCTTTTGTTTACACATGGTGCGCACGCCTGCCGTGAATCTGGAGAAACACGGTGCGCATGCCAAGATAGAGCTCCTAGCAGGAAAACTGACAGAGTGAGTTTCCTCTGCTGATGTGAATGTGACGAATCATATTGAATCATTTTTTTGCTATTAGGTTGGAGGCCGTTCCTATTAGGGAGGCCATCGCTGAATGTGATGAATAATGGTTGTTTATTTGATTTCTTTGCTTTTGTTCCTAGTAGCTTCTTGTTACTACTAGTAAGGCACTTGTGACTAGAAGCGATGCACTTGTTCCTAGTAGCGAACCTTGTTTTTGCTTCTTTGCGGTTCAAGCTGCCAATTGCACACTCCGACTCCCTTGACTCCGTCCTCTGTGATGGCATCAACCCTGGTGAGGGCAGAGTGCGAAGAGGCACCATTGTTGGACGTGTCCGGTGGCCAGAGACGGGCTTGGGTCCCTCGTGCAGCTTTCCTGTCATCACTACCGCTAGTAGCACACCGCTCATGAACCTACTATCTCCTAAAACGAAAACAATTATTGTTTTCGAAAGGTGCTTTCTTTTGCATCTTCAGCTAAGGCAGCTTTCATCTCCTTGTTTCTGCTTGGCTCTGGTTGCGTTGCTTCAGAAGAGCGCTTCCTCAACTCATTCTGGACGTTTCTCTCAGTTGGCCGAAGCTCCTTCGTCCGCTTCAACCCACACCAGTGTCGAGGCACAGCAGTTCAATCATTCTGAAGGTCGAATTGAACATTTGGCTGATGTCATATTGACTTTGGTACATGATGCCAAGCTTCGGGCAGAAGCACATGATGTGGAGTCAGATATTTCAGCCAACAATCCCCAGAAGTTGAAGGAAGACGCCAAGGAGATCATGGACTTGTTGCAGGCCATGTCGTCTCGAATGGGGCCGGCAGAGGCCGCTCATCTCGGGGCTGAAATTACCATCGATGATATCTCTAGGATTCTCAATGTGACCAACCTTCAAGGTCATTTTGAAACCGTGGAAGACGAGTGTAAGGATTGCTTCCAGGGGGACATGAAGCCTGAGAATGAGCAGCAGTTGCTTGACTTCATTGATGCCGCGATGAAAGCACAGCTGGGAGGACCTATGGGCCTCAAGGCAGCCAGGAGGCTCTCTGCGAAAAAGAGGCGTTTCGGCGCTGGGAAGCCCTGGAAGGGTGCTGACATGAAATACTGCATTCATCCTCAAGCTGAAAAGCATCAAGGATACAAAGAAGCAGTTGACAAAGCAATGAAGGCCATCACGAAGGCAGTCCCATGCATCAAGTTCACAGATGTAGGGTATGACTGGGCCGACTACACTCAAAACTACGACGGAAAATGCGCACAGTCGCCAGCGGTCCTGTTCACTCGGTGGACTGGCGGTTGCAACTCCTATGTTGGTATGTTAACCCACAAGAAGTCGCAAGGATTGAACTTGGCCAATGGCTGTTTGACTATGGGCATTGTGATTCATGAGATTCTTCATGCTTTAGGCATGGCGCATGAGCAGTCCCGCCCGGACCGGGATGCTTATGTATATGTCTATGAATCACGCATCAAAGCAGGACAAAAACACAACTTTGATGTAGGAGAAGAAGGGGATATGGCTCGTCCGTATGACCTCCTTTCCATCATGCACTATTCAGCTGATGCCTTCAGTACAAATGGAAAGCCAACCATTGTAGCCAGAGACAAGGCCTTTGCGAGCTACTCCGGCACCGAGCGCGAGAAGATCAAAATGGGGAACCGCGTGGGTATGACCCAGCTGGATGCCGACCAGCTGGCAGACCTCTATACTGCTGAGCGAGGGTATTGTGTGAGTGCACTGCTGACAGACACCAAGTGCACTGACATGATTGTGGATGGCAAGCCTTGGGCTGATAAGTGGGGCTCAGGTTGTGATGCCTACAAAAAAAATGGCGACTGCTCCAAGTGGGTATCTGCAACTTATTGCTGCGGTTGTGGAGAGGGAGGTGCACAGGAGCAAGTCTGGTCCCACGATTGCGACCTTTGCCCAGGCACTTCAATTAAACCAGCGACATGCACTTGTGGGCAAAGTTCTTCGGGGACTGGAACAGTTTGCAAGAATGAAGAATTTAAGGCTGGCACCTTCAACCCTCGACCCTTTTGTCGGTGCGAGGAGGGCCACTTGGAATGGTGTGCCATCTACACTGGCTTCACCACAGATGGCTGCAGGTGCAAGAGGAAGCCGAAGGGTTGGACCTTTGAAGGAGGCCAAGTTGCGGGGACGTGTGGTGATCCCAACTCCGACGGCTATGACTGGTGCTACACGACTGGCGAGTGCGAACACACCTGGGGGAAGTGTGAGTTGGCAGACTAATTGGTTTGAACCCATGTACAGCTTGTGACAATCTGTGCCAAGGTAAATTTTGGCAATATATTGTATGGGCCAGTGGTCGCCGGTAGACAATGCTCTTTGCAAAGCCTCATGCCTCGTTTGGAAAGGGCAAGGTGGAAGAGGGGCTCTCATTTGCTACCCGGCCACTCACGAGATATGTGAGGTCCGTTCCATTGTGACGTATTGCAAAAAGTGAGCCCCTGCAAGCGTTGGTTCAAGGGCTTAATTGATGTGAAGATGGCTCTATGTTGCGCGAAAGCATCGGCTTCTGAGTTAGGTTGGAGGCCATCGCTACCTTGCTGTACATGCTCGAAAGCAAGCTTTAGATCGCATAGTTCGCGTCGCAGTAGTTTGGCTCGAAAGCAAGATGTTGAGTTTTGCCCTAACCCCACGAAGTGATGACGAGGATCACTTGCACGAGAGTCTGAAACCGCGACTGACTTCGTCCCCAACGGATTCAGGTTGGGATGTTTGCACCGCAGACCACTTGGTCGATAGTCTTCGCATTCTTGTTGCAAAACGCGCTGTTTTGTTTGGAGGTAAAAACGTCGTCAAGCGAGCCAGTACTCTTCAGGTAACATCGCAATTGCTTGCGAAAGTGTTTGAACAAACTTGTCACATTTTGATCTTTTTGTTTCTGTGCTGCAGGTTCTTACAAAGCACCAGCGCATGGGGTGCGGGCGCACCCTACCGAATGCCGCCCATGCACCTTCTTCGGTTCTCCGAAAGGCTGTCTGAGAGGCCAGGCTTGCAACTTTTGTCATCATGAGATCCACGTGAAGCTACGCAACGAGTACCTGGCCCAACGAGATGCGTTGCACAAGGAAAAGCAAGCAGCCAAGAAAAGGGTAGCAAAAATGCCCTCCCGGCAGCAGTTTTAAGTGCTGTCGCCATCGGCGCTGCCCGTTCCAATCGAAGAACCAGATAGTGTTTACCTTAACCGTAGCCTACTACAGTGTTCTTGGTTCTTCAATTGCCTCGATGCTCTCTCAAGCAGGTTTTATTGAACTTGCTTGCCGTGAGAAATATGCAAAGGCCACTAGACTAGCATTGGGGCAGGGGCCAGCAAGAACTTGCACAGAGCCATAGCACAGGGAACTGCAACGTCGAGCCTAACTTGGATTTGGTATGCAGTGAAATTTTGTGTCCGCAGGCATGGCTTAGGCATGACAATGATGTTTCTACAACTAGCGGCATGACCTTGGCTTGGGCTTGGCGGATTCCTGTGTCAATTTCTTGATCATGTGGCTGCAGCAGGCACAAAGCAACTTGCTCGGCCAAGGTAGAACACAAACGGTGAACATTGCTCTATCCTTGTTGTCACCAGTTGTGCAACCGAGTGATTTTACATGGTAAACGTTTTCACTTGTACCGTGGCCCGACTTTATGATGGTTGAGGTGGAATTGCACACTGGTGGCAAAACCTGAATGGATGGTGGTGATTCATGTGAGTGAGAGGAACAAGCATTCTGGAGTGGCTCTTCCACACATCCTTTCCTGGAGACTGGTCGCTAGGGCCCAGATCAGCACTGCAAGCCGACTGCGTGGAATAGTAGCGTTGTTCCAGGATCAACTATATAAGTTTATGAGGTTACCAAAGTCAAAACGCAAAGCACACGACAAGCTGTGTCAATATGAGGCGAGGAAAAATGTTGGTTCAGACTCACAAGAACATACATGAACGCCACTATGCTCGCCCGGCTCGCCCTAGGACATGGAATCCTGGAATGCATTTCCATTACAAGTGAAACAAACCATCCTTCTTTACACCCCCCACACAATTGAACTTGGATGTTTCCCTGAATCTTCCGACAGGGACGACTATGAGCCGTTCAATCTCTGGTATTGTGTGATACGCCGATGTGCAAAGCAACTTGAGCCCGAGTGCCACACCTCAACCTGTGCAACAGTACCTGCATCTCGCGGTTTTGCCTCGGGCCGGCCCCTGGCACATACGCCATGTTGTGCCTGAAAATCGTTCTGCTGACCTGCTTGTAGATTGCAGGCTTGTTGCAGGTAGAAGACTTGGGCTTAGTGAATGGTTGCGACCTTGTGGGACCTTCCATCGATTTGTCGCCAGGGGAGCCCTGCAGCCATCGTACGGATGTCCTACGCTCAGTACGGTCAGCAGTGTGGAAAAACAATGTTGGTAACTTGTGTTGCGGAGCAGGGGTTGGCTGCCGCTGTTGAACTATTTCATGGTTGACTTCTGAGTTGTTGCTGCATCCTCTCTAAGTGTTTGACGGAAGGAGCAGGGCGTTGCTTCACGACAATCATGTGCCACTTGCTGCACCTTTGCTGCTTTGTCTCACAATCTCCAGATCCGGTGATGCTGACCGTTTTCCGTGTGGACACACTCGGGGTCCTTGCGGTAGGTGTTAAGGCTGGATTCAACAGTTTAATCGAGGGTGCTCATGGGCGGCGGTGGCTAAGGTCCCAAACTAGATTCTTGTGTCTAATAGCTTCTTGTTACTAGTAGTAAGGCGCTTTTTACTAGTAGCTTCTTGTTACTACTAGTAAGGCACTTGTTACTAGTAGCT